TCTTGAGTAACGGAAAAAATAAGAGTTTCTTTTACTACTATCTATCAACAATTAATTTATCTGAAAACAATTTAATTTAATTGAAATGACATCTATTCTAGTCGGAGTTTGGAACAGTTTCTATATATATTTTCTTCAATATATTTTAGCTTTTTTTCCTCCTAAATATTTTGATTTTGTGATTTAAATATGAATAATTGCAAAAATCACGAAATTACAGATGACATCGGACTCATTGGCAGGATAGATTTGATTTTAATTGAAGAAAAATGACATTGCTGTAACAGTTTCTTTTTATTCATATTTTTTCTCTTAACAATGTTGCCAAAGAAAGAATAAAATTAGTATTATCTTCTTATGAAATATTAAGTTTGCTAATAAGTGCTTTAGACACACAACAAAGACATAGAAAAGAAATTTTCTAACAAAAAAAAACTAAAACAATTTTTAGAAAAAAGATAAAAAAAGCGCTCAGTAAAATTTATAGAAGATGTTTCCGAAGTAATCGACTGTCAATAAGTCTAAATATGCTTGTCTTTTATGAAAATCTTCAAAAAAAAAATTGTATCATCAACATCGTAATAATAACTGAACTCCGTGGATACCAATTATAATCTTTTCAAAGTATTTTTTTTTCATCTTAAATTGAAAAGTTTCTGAGTATTTTTTTGAAGTTTTTCATAGAATAAAAGCAGAGATATACTGTTTTTGATTTGTTACCAAAGATAAAATGAAGATATATTGAATTATATTTTGCATAATATTTCATAAGTTTTCTAAAACTTTTCGATTAACTTTTTTTTTAAGTGTTAGCAAATATAATTTCAGTTTAAAAAGTAAGAAAAAAAACGTAGATTATCTTGAAAATATGGCCTGCCCACTCTGAATATAATGCCTACAACTGCCGCTTTATTGCAACTAACTATTTCAGTTTTATTAGACTTAGAAGAAATGATCTTGCGGCACTTCTGCAAATAGAAAACGCATTGTTCTGACTTTGTTTCATACTTTATTTTTTTCAAATCATTCGTAGAAACCTTTCAAAAGAATCTATAAGGCAGAATTCAATGTGTCTATATTTTGATTTTTCAACAATGAAAACTGAAAATTGCAATTTTGTTTCTACGAAAAAGTTATTTAAAAAAAGTACTCATACATCTTATGAGTCTATATAAATAATAGCTCGAGATAACGGCCGGAAGTAGTTTGTAGAACAGAGAGTAGAAATAAGAATATGGAGAGACTAAGGAAATTAATGACGCACAAGAACAAACAGTAAAGAAATAAGGAGCGAAAGATGAAGTGCAGAAATGTTAGTAATTTAAAACCATTTTAAAACTATACATTTATATATACTAAACGTTTTTTCAAGTTAAAAAAAAAACTTTATGAGCTTGATAAGTTAAAAGATTATAGTTATTAAATAGAAAAGAAAGATGAACGTTTCTGAGTGACGAAATCATAGTATTATCCTCTATCAAAGTCAAATAAATGTCGTTTCCGGTATATCTATTTTTTTTGGTATATATATATATGTATTAATCAATAAAGGCTTCTACTTTTATTTTGAACAGTTACAAAAGTAATATACTTAGTTTAGGTTTTCAATATGAATCTTCTTTATTGCGAATAATTGATGTTTCAAAGAATTGATCGAATTTCAAATGAGATTAAAATGTAAGTCATGGATAAATTGATTGAAAATTGTATTTTTTCTTAAATCTATTTAGAGATACATTGATCTTTAATAGTATTTTTACTGAGATTTTCAAAGAAGATTTCCCACTCAAGAAGATAGAGGAAAAAAACCTGGCTTTATTCTGACTTTTTGTCAACATTTTTTACATGAGCTATGCACTTCAAAACTAATAACACTTAGGAATCTTTATTATTCGAATATTTTCGAAATTTCATTTAGCTAATAAATAAAAGCAGGACACTTATTCGGTTCAATGACATTCCTCATGCATACAAAAGGCTGAATGCATTATCGATTGCATTAAGTGAAATGTCTGTTGTTGCAGTAGAACAGTGTTAACGGTATGTTAAAATTAATAATGTAACTAAAAATAGTAACTGATCTAACTCTTTGAAACTGATCAGCGGATATTTTACTCGTGAAAGCTTTTTTGTTAATAAGTGTTAGTCTTCAAGAAGTTGCATTACTCACGAACGCATCTTACTCTTTTAGCTCAGTAAGTAATTCAACTTATTCCTTATGCTGTTTTTTCAAGCATTAAAACTGTATGACTTTATTCAACTCGTGAGCATTATGATAATAAACTTTTTACAATTGTTCTAATAAATGACTGCGGTGATTGTCGAGTTCCATCAAATATAATTTATTTTTGTAAAAAGGAATATTCTTTTGATAGCGTCATTCTGCACAGGGTGAGGCCATGTTCCAATAAAGTAGAAACCAGACCAGAAAGGCATGATCAATGCTCAGCTCGAGACAGGCTGGGTCGGATCATTAAAAAGTAGTCAAGCTTCGAGGCCTGTTATTTAGTTGTCCTGATATCTACGTAGTAAAAATTATCGTAAACGCCGTGCTGTGACGAATAGCTATCAATTTATTTTCAACATTATTTGACATAAAAAACGTGACATCTGAAATATTCTACCATACACTTTTGTTAGTCAAAAATAAAAGTATGTTTTTCCACGTATTGTAGAAAAATAAATTCTATCGAGTGCAATTGATGTTCGTTAATAGAACAGCATGATTGTCGCCATTAGTACTCATTAGCGGGCATATGCACTCATATATAAAGCTCTCGACATATTAGATTCGAAGTCTTCTAGTATGTTTTGCCATTTACACGCTACAGAGGAATCTTCTATTATGGCATTGAAAAAAAAAACGTCCTTTTTATTAGTCATAATGACAGTTTTTAATGTTAATTTCTTTCTATCCAATGCAGCGTGAGTACATGAATTTATTTTACTGATCTGTACTCCTAGAATGGAAAAGAAACCAATAACACATTAGTACCAAATAACAACAAATCATTGGTCCGATAAGTGTTTTTGGAATTATACAGGCAATCAGATTTTAAAGCCTGGCATGATTTATAATAATATTATTTTTTCTAAAGCATAGTATCAATTACTGACAACATCTATCGCTCCATATAGGTAACTACAGATGGAATCCATTCCGAATGTAATGTTCTACGAGTTTAGCTGTTGGTACCCAGCTTACGTAATTAAATAAGATTATCCACGAAGAAACCGTATGTGAAAAGAAGAAGAATTGATTACGCCTTGGTGATATTTTTTAGAATCTTTGACGTTTGTATATGACAATAGTTAAGTATCTCTTTACGAAAAGAAATGCATTCTCCGAGATAGCACGCATATTTCATAGAACATATCTCCGCATGTGTCTTCAAGCAAATTTTTTCCCTCGTGAAAATGTGCTTTTCTATGTCGAGAATATGCGCGAATTAGTAGAAGACAGTGCATAAGCAGGTGACGGTTTTAAATAATAGACAAGAAGATTTTAGTGTATATATTTCTATTGGAATAAGATCTCTTCGTATGCGATATACTTGGATGCGGATCTCATTCGTTACGTCCTATGACTGTGAAAAGAAGTTTTTCGTAAAAAAAATCTGAAACATTTCTTCAGAATGTTGTGCAAAGGGCCACTAAATTGTCATCAAGACACATGCTTTGATACAGAAACGCATGTTTCCGACTAATTTTTGTTTATAGCTTGTTCGATTCGAAGCAGATATACTACTCAGACGATTGAAGCAAAATACTGTCCATGTTGAGCTTAGATATTAACATGTACATAAATGTTACAAACAATCAATAAGTTGTAGAAATCGTTAATAAAGATCGATTGTCAAAGAATGTCTTTTAAAGTGTCTTTTGTTGGATTTATTTGAGAGAAATCTCCTAGTATAGATTTTTAAGGATTTGATTACATGTACAACGCGAGAAAAAAGGTCTACTGACCGGTACAGAACTAGACTAACAATGATAAAACTTCATTAAAACATACAAAATTAGTAAGATTGCACAAAAACCAAACGAACGTTGGTTTAATCATTAAGCTTGCCTTTATTTATTACTTCTTTTTTTAGTTTTTCCTTCAACAATCACGAACTTGTCAACTATGTCTCGATATATGGCGACCATTAGTGCATCTAATTAAGTTTATGATGCGCGCTATTAATTACACAAATGAAAAATTTTTAATGACGAGAACTTCTAAACAAATCTTCTTTTATACAAGTACTTATTAAAAAGCTTCATCTCGAATATTATTGGTAGAAGTCTAATAGTGTCATGATAAACCGTCTGAGAGATATAAATAATTCGTCTATTTACCTAAAACTGTGTTTGAAATATTTGAGAGTCAATCCCAGAATTAATCGTCAACTCTTTAAGTTAAGACAAAATACTCGAACTTTTCTACTCGGTATTGATGTGTATATATTTAATATGTCGATTTAATTATAAGTTTTCTAGGTAAAGATCCTATGCGTCTCAATTAAAATAAAAAATAAAAACAGAATCTCTTAAGAAAATCTTTGCTTTTTGAGGGTGCTTTAAGATTTAGAGTCTGCTTTTGATGTATAAAAAAATAGATTAGACACTCTTTTACTTTTTTTTCTTTAAATCATGTTGTTGTTTTTCAAGAAAAAAACTAACATCCATCTGGATTTGATCATCGACGTTTCTGAAAAAATATTAGTCAAAAAACTAATCAGGTATGAATTTTAGCTGAAGAAAAGCTTTAATTCATTTTTAGCACATTCTTTATACAATGTTTTGAATGTAAAATATTCTATTTATTCTATTTTATCGATTCCTATAGTCTCTAAAAGTCTCAGAATTTTTCCTATGACTATTTTTATTTTCAGAAACTTTAATAAAGCTTATTGTTTTATTTCTTCAGTTTAATCATTGCTTAAAATTTCATTTTAAACTATCGTTGTATATTTTATAAAATTCTCGAATTCATTTCAAAGAAACTTTGTGAAATGTTATCGACAGGAAAACTTCTCGGTATAATCAATTGGTGTTCAATTTTCGTGTGTATTCTTATATTTTTATCGATTTTTTTAATGATATATAAATGTCGTCGAGAATTACATGATGCATCTTTATTATTAACATGTAATACTTGTTTAGGTGCATTCTTAACATGTATTACAATGTGGGTAATGACTGGTTCAAACTTATTTACTGGATTTTTACTTTACAATATGAAATTTTGTTACGCATGGGGTTTATTCTATGATATATTTGAATGTGTAATTTATTATAGTTATTGTTTACAAGCATTTTATCGTTTATGTCGTATTGTGTTTTATACAAAGAAATTTCTGACATCCTTTACTTTACATTTTATATTGATTATTTGTCAATGGCTATTGATATTAGCCCTTCTTATACCACCAGTTTTTGTCAATTGGTATACTCGTTTACCAACAGAAAACTATTGTCTTATTCCTTATACAAATGTTATTGCAGAAGTTTATCATATTCTTATTTTATATCTTATTCCATTAATTTGTATTGGATTAGTATATTTATGGATAACTGTATTTATGCGTCGGAGTACCCGAGCATCGACACTTATTATTGCAGTTATACAACGACAACGAAATCAAAGAGATTTAACAGTTATTAAACGTATTATAATGTTAATAGGAATATTAATTGCATTACGTTTTCCAACAATCATTTTTATGATATATGCAGTTATGTTTGGACAAACCTATCCATTAACATATGGAATAGTTGGTATTATTACATCAGCATGTTTAATATTTATTGGAATTGCGACAATTTATACGACACCACCATTGCGAAAACTAATTCACGCTCATCTTGTTCAACAAAATAATCGAGTACAAGCTGAACCAATACCAATGACTCAAATAGGCGCTCCAATCACAATGAGTGATAATGTCAAGAGCACCCAAAAAAGCAAACGAAAGGCTATTATATCGTTAAAAAACAATTCTTAATATTGTCTACTTTAATCGTAAACTTATAGTTTTGTCTCACACAGATGAACATTTCTTAACCGTTTTTAGTTGAACCCAGTTTGTTAGAACATGCATTAAAACTTATGTAATTATTATTTTTTATTTATTTTCAGCTTTCTGTACTTCTTTTTCTTTTTCATAAATGATTTATGTATTGCATTTCTTTCCCATACAATGGGTCTATTTTGAACTCAATAAGTGATAAACATATTTGTCGCCATTAGTCCTTTAGTTTCTTTTAGCTATTTAAATAATTGATTTTTTAAGAAAGAAATAACTTTAGCTATTCAACTAATGTTTGTTCTCTATTATCTCTGTCTTACATACGTTCACTTAACTTCTTCTATAAAATTCAAATAAATCTAACAATAATACTGGTTTATCCAAGAAAACAAAAATGTCACGTTTTGCATGATATAAGTCTTAAAAATATTGTGCTTTATTTTCTAAGTAGTTTGTTGCTTATATAAAACTTTTTAGCACCAAAATTTTTTTATGTCGAAAAACGGCCAGCTTTTTCTTCCAAAATAAAGCCATAAGATTTAATGCTATCTAAATACGAACATTTGGTGTATAACAGCTTTATTCTACTATTTCTTTCTAGTTACATAGAGATGCTCTCTAGTCAACATATTCCCTGTTTAACTTTTCATGGCATCATCTTATGCATTCAATTGTACAGAGATAAGAACATTCAACATTCTTAGTCTTCACTATAAATGCAGAAAATAAAATAATAGTTATTTCGAATAATATCATCCGAAATTTCTCTAACGCATATTCTTATTTGTGCAATACTTTTAATATTCCGTTAAGACCTTTTCTGCCATTAGGTTTGTAGATAGTACGAGAAGTATTGTTGATTTGTTAACCAGAGTATTAGAAACAAAAATTTTAAAGTATTGCACAACTAAGCATGCCTTTTGGATAAACTTTGAATGACATTATTCTAGATAATTGCTATTGTATTTTTTCATGTTTATAGCAAAGATTAACCCTTCATTACTGTTCTCATATTGAAACTTCATTACTGTTGTGGGATCCGCCTGGACTCACCCTTAGAAAATCACAAAAAAATGATACTTTTGATTTATCCAAGCTATTCATTTATGTACTATAGGCTTATAAATACCCCTGTTATATAGGTTAACATATCAGTTTCCATGGCGGCAATATGAGAGTATACAATATCGAAAACATGTTGACTGGAACTGTGTTCATAACACCAATGAAGTATAATTGAACAAATAATAGATTTCATCACATTAGCCTAGAACGGTAGAAATACACTCATATATTAACATACATAGTTGTCTGTAAATAAGAAGGAAAGAATTTTTCTTTTTATTTATCTTTATTTTCATCTTCTTCTCTTTTTCATAATTAAAAAACTATAGAATCGCAGTTGCTCTGTCACAATCCTGAAGTCGTTCTTATTTCAGTTTGTTTGTCTTCATTTCATAAATACAAATCTTTTTTAGCTCTTTTCTTGACATATCTGGCAATTTACCACTGTGACATTGCCAGAATGAGAAACGCAGAGATTTTGTCTTCAATTATGATAAGTTTGACAAATTTTTCGTGCAGGTTTTAATGGACATAAGTTACATCTTCTTTTTTCTCGGTTTAAATGAGTGTTTACATTAAGCTCTTGCATGCTTTTAGAAGGAACATGATAACTGAGAGCCAGTAAAGTAAGCTTTACATTTGGCAGCTTCAGCAAAACAAAACATGCTACCAATAACAGAATAGTTGTTGTGGAGTCCATGCGAACCCACAGCTGCGCTGTTTTCCTGTTAGACCTATTCACAATTTCTAGTAAGAATATTATACAATAACAAGAGACTAGCGATTAGAGAAAAGGAATAATCCGAAACAACAGATCTTAATGAAGTACTACACGAAAAGCTGTAAGGTGGATCCGCTTGGACCCCACAACAGTAACGAAGGGTTAAGAATCCTGAACGTTCTTATCTCTACACAATTGAATTCATAATGTGATTTCATGGAAAGTTAACCATAGAATATGCTGACTAAAGAGTATCTCTATGCAGCTAGAGCAAAATAGTAGTCGACTAAAACTCACTATTTTTGTTAAAAAAACATGAAAAACTGATATGTATATCTGCCTGGATATTCTTCGTGACGTAATAGAAAAAAACATATTGCTCAGTTATCTCAGGAAACATCACATAGAGTACTTTCAAATACCAGTGTATGCTTAGTGTATACTCAACTGCAAAAACTATTAGAGATTTATCCATTCCAATTCCTGTTTTTGACTTAGCATTGGTTGGAATTAGAATTCCCAGAATCTATCAGCATTGGTCTTGAAAAATTGTATGCAAATTATTAATTTATATATATATATTTATGCCCAATTAGTAATTCCACAACAGTCAATCTCTTCCAAGTCGAAGAATTGAAATCTGTGAATTCTTACATACTATTTCATTTTGATAGCGAATATTTACTGATAAAACTTATCGTAAATATGTGTATTGTTTTTTTATTTTTATATATTTCTCTTTAGACATTGTTTGACAAAAATAAAACAAAAATTGCTTATCAACAATTGAAGCACTATTGCATTATAGTACAGTAAATTATTTTGTGTATGCTGTTTCACTTTTATTCTCGTCATTCTTTGCGCTTGTAAGTTAACGTAATGTTAGTAATGTTTATTCGCATACTTTTTCTGTGATATTTGTAGCCAGTCTACTGATAGACAGTTTTAGCATAAAATATTACAGTTGTTATGAAGAATCATGTCCAAAGCCATGGACTCCAAATAATGTCGAAAAAATATCATAATCAAGTGGTTGGTACCTTGTAAACATTTCATATACAACGTCATAGTAGTTTTATATTAAATCTATTCTTCTATTCAAACATTCAGTACAGATAATCAAATTAGGGTATACGTTAAGTTTAATGTAAATACCTTTATTTTTGCGACTTTTGAGGATGAGGATTGTTTACATAAACTAGACTTATACCCTTGTTTTTTTTTCAAAAGATGCGCCATGAAAAGCTCTGTAAAAACAAATGGTGGTATAAGTCTAGTTTATGTAAACAATCCTCACCCTCAAAAATCGCAAAAACAAAGGTGTTTACATAAATTTGACTTATACCCTAACTCCACCGGCAACTTATTTTATTTCCATTGCTGCAATACTGATCTTTGTAATGGACCAGATGCAAGAATAAAAACAAAATCTAAAAATGGACAAATAAAATTCATCAACAATATTTGTTTTGTCTTCATAGACTTTTTAATAGTCTTCATTATGGCAAAATAGCAAATCGAACCCACAAACTTAGACTTTTACTTCAAGTTTCGATTTTTTTTTGTAACTTATAAATTTCTTCTGGATCAATAATAGATTCGTTTAGATTGATTGTGCTTGTTTAAATCTTATATTTGAAAATTAAATTTGCTAGAACGTGTCAAACATAAATATGGTTACATTGTCAACCTAATTAGTGTTGATAAGAATCGTTTCAATGGCACAAACTCATAATATCAACTAATCTTTATTTTAAATTCAAATTGAGCAGTATAATGACGTCAAGGCATGCTCTACAGAATACGAATTTTGATATAGTCAAAAGAAATTATCAAGATAATAGACTACTAACCATTTGATCGTCGTCGCCGTTTATAAACGTCGGGAGCCACATCTTTGCGTGAAATAAATTAATCCTTTATAGCGTATGTTTTTTACACACATTTTCATAAAAACAAACTTTGGGCAGCTTGTACTTCAAAATCCACCATTTTAGTAAGGCATACTATGGAATTGTTCCATAATAAACAAATAAATTTTCTGTAAAACCATTTCTTCCTTCTCTTATGTCGGCAGCCAAAGGCTTAAACAAGTGCATAACAGAAATGCAGCCATATATTTTAAAGTTCATCATTAATTAGAAACTAATGTCACATTTAATTATGTTCTATTTACAAGTCCTTCTCTTAAAGCTATTCATTGCTCTCATTTCAATAATCTTTAAAGGATTACAAATTATTTTGAAAATTATAAATGATCAATGAATATTCTCACTAGCAATGTCTCATGAACACAAAATGGCATTTAAATGAATTGTTTTGTTTCAACTGATCAACGAATAGAACTTGATATAAATCATTTTCAAATGAATTTTTCTAAACAATCAAATGAAATAATTTTATATTAATTTGATGTTCATGTTAAAATTTTAATGTCCGATAATTCATGATATTTATCTAACAAAGAATGAACGATTACAAATTCTTAACACATTTATTGAACTTCAAACATTTTCTACTTGCTTGTTGGAATGGAAGAAGAAATGTATATATGATTGAAAGTTGAATATTGAATTTAAAAAAAACATAGCAATGCGACATTAATTATAAAAAACAAGGCAAAAAAAACTTACGTTTTTTTCTGTAAATGAATATCAATATGATATAGCACAAGCAAGAATGACATATGTGAATTACCATTTTATTAAACAATGAAACAGAATGAAGAACTTGAAAATCTTATGAATGTGCCAATAAAGCGCCAACAATGTAAGATTCAATTTTACATTATTGACATGGAAAATCAGATGGAACTTGATATTTTAACTAATCAAATATATTTTATTTTATTTTTCTCTTAAGGTGTTTATCTCTATGATCGAGACTGATTCTCCAATGGGTAGAAAATAAACTTTTCTTTTTAGTATATCTCTTTTGTACGCTATTTTGTTTTATCGCATAAAAGTAGAACATATACACTACTGGCCATAAGTCCCTGGATGTGCGATACTCCCTCATAACTTCAATAATTTTCCACGAAATTTTTACCAGAAATAGAGTTTAAAAAACTGTGATCGCAAGCACCAACCCGAGCTCTATCAACTGATATAGTATGGACTTATGATTCAAACATTAGTTTCACCTCTGTTTACTTATTAATCAATATTCACAGTTTTTATGAAAAACATTCGAGATACTAGAGGTCTTGTTTAATCTTTAGGTTGTTTCATAAGTTGTTACAGGAATACGCAGTGGGCATTTATTGCTCAATAAAGGTATCTCTGGAGAATAGTAGACTAATATTAACGAGCTAAGAAACAACTTAGATATTAAACAAGTTTTCTAGCATCGCGATTGTTTTTCCATAAAAACTGTGAATATTGATTTACAAGTAAACAGAGATGAAACTAATGTTTGAATCATAACTCCATACTATATCAGTCGATAGAGCTCGGGTTGATGCTTGCGATCACAGGTTTTTAAGCTCTATCTCTGGTAAAAATTTCGTGGAAAATTATTGAAGTTATGAGGAAGTATCACACATCCAGGGACTTATGGCCAGTAGTGTATATCTATATCCGAAGCAAACAGATATCGATGAATTGATGTATATATCTATGAGCAATATCAACCTAAATGCGACATGGCCATCTTTCAAAAGGAAGAAAAAGCATACTTCTGTACTTTTGAAGTACTGAAAGTACAGAATTATGAAGAAGTTCCAAGAAGTTTTGACAAGTATTAATCGCTGAGATGTAACAGCGAGTGAATAGAAAGCTAAAGTGTTCTTTTGTAAGAAGATGATAGTTTTTGTGCAAGAGAATACTAAGAAAACAAATAGATGATAAATAGCATTCTATCTTAGTGTTTTTCAACTTGTTTCAATAACATGAGACAAATGCTAATATAATAAACGATTGTTTGTATATCAATTAGAAGTAAGCATGGTGACTGTTTATGTAAATGTTGACAATTATTGTTAAGTTTTCATTTTGAACTATGAATTGTTTGAATTACATGACTCTTATCGATAATGTTGATAGCACAGAAGTTTGTTTTTTTTGTAAATGAAGTCACATTTTCCTAGTTAATCTCATCGTTAACCTAGAATAGTCGTTAATTATTTTCATTTTTTAAAAGAGTTCATACATATTATTACAAAAAAAAACGATCGATTATATTTGCTCATATTATCTCTTAGAAATAAGAGCTGTATAAAAGTACAGAAACGTGTTAAACTAATGTCATACTATGGAGAAGTATGAAAAACCAAAAGAAATACAGAAATATACTCTTTTTCCCTTGACTCGGTGACCTTAATATTTATCTGAATTCGTTTTGGTTTTATTCGTCATATCATTAGAAAAAAAAATTAACGCAGGTCTTTTGAAAAATATTCTTTCATACTTGAGAAAATTGATCTTTTTGATATGATATCAATACGAGTCCATATTCAAAGATTTTGAGAATCAAAACTTCAGTTCCAAATAAATTTCTGATAGTGAAAACATCTCAGTATGAACTCGTATTGATGGCGTTTTGCTATCATATTAAATAGATCGATTTGTCAACTATGAAAGAATATTTTTCAAATAATCTGCGTAATTTTTTTTCTAAAGATATTACGAGTAAAACGAAAAAGAATTCAGATAAATATGGAGACTACTGAGATTTGATGTTTTTAGTGTATTTCAAATTCTACAGTCTTGTGTAATTTTTTTAAACCTAATTTTGCTAAGTTTCACTATAAAGAACATTGCTCGAATATGTCAAAAACATTAAAAAAAAATGTTTCACAAATTTCACATTGCCAGTACCTTATATCATTTCGATTTTGTTTATGACTGCATATTTATATTTTATTCAAGAACAGAAATTGTAAAAGTTATTTGTTTTCATTATTCAAATGATTTTGTATTTCAATATAATTTGTTTTTATATCTTCAAAATTTTGATCATAGAATAATTTAGCATCACATATTTTCATCATTGCATTATGTACTGATAAATTTTCTACTGAATAAATATTCTTATCATGAAGAATATTTGCTATTAAACTTGTCACATACAATAAATATTTCGCTGATTCATTTGAACATAATTCTAAGTAATTACGTTTTATACAATCTTTGACCATTTTCAATGGACGATCAGTTAATTGATGTTGTTTGATAAAAGCATGCATTGTATGTCCGTAAAACCATATTATACATGAATTTTCATTGAAATTTTCATTTTTTACTAATACTTCAATAATTGGATTAAAACGTTTAAATTGATTTGTATTCCAATAATATTCTTCACATTGTTCAATCATAGTTAATAAATTATTTTTCATTAAAATACATTTTTCAATTAATTTTTTTAATTGTTCATCATTAAAATGATGAATAAGATTCATTTCAGGTATAAAATAATGTTTTAAACGTTTTTTTTCAAAACATACAATTATATAATTAATAAACTCTATAAAACGATCATATAATGTTTCATATGTCCATTGTTCTTTTTCTATTGATTCGCATAACCAAAATAAAATCGTTTTTAAATAATAACTACATATTAATTTTGATAATTCTAAATCTTGTTTAATATGCACATCGAATAGAGCTTTAACGATTAAATAACATTTTCTTTGATAATAACTAAGTGTTTTAGCTAATAATAATTCACATATGGAAAATGACAATCGCCATTCAATTGATTGAATTTTACTCGTTGATAATAAATGTGGTATTGGTACTAGGTGACAACCAAATTTAATAATTGAATTGATTAAATTTTGTTCTGGCCAATTACTTATTCGTACACGATTAATCCAATGTCGTGCTGACGTCGGCCAATGAATACATTTTAATGATGTAACATGATCCATTGGCAATGGAAAATTTGAATTTTTCGATGTTATACATATTGATGGACCATGAATTTCTAATTCTTCATCATTATCTTCATCTATAGGCCATTGATTTTTCATCCAATTTACAAGTCGCGATGATAAAAAATATTTTCGATATGGATCAATAAAATCACCAGGTATAATATATTTATTTGTACCGGGAAGTAAATGAGATGAATCAGTTTTTTCATTTGTTACAATTAATTCTTGCATTGAATAATAATAAAGTGTAACATAACATGGATATTTTTTGTTACTATAATCAAGATATAAAAATCGAATTTGATTATTAGCTTTATACTTTTGACGTTCGTTCGATGTAAATTGTTCAGGATCAACAACGTAGATATATGGAAATTCAAACATTAGATCAATATCTGATTTTACATGATTTGAAAATGGTAAATATAGTTTTTCAGCACTACTACCAGAACGTAGGTATTGACATAAAGTTAAATTTGTATATTCAGTAAGTTTTTCATGTGTAAAAGTTTCTTCATTTTCTTCATCTTCATATACATCTAATGAAATCATAAAATGTTCAAGAATTAATGATAAAAGACGATTTTGTTTATTTGTCATTTTATTCAGTTTGATTTATTTTTCTTTTCGAATAGATTCTTAATACATTAAATACCGATACACGAACATATTTTCATTCAACATACGCACGATAATAATCAACTAGAGAGAAATAATAGTTAAGTGATTGTCAAATAATTTCTAAATTTTACAGTCAGCTTTCTTTTTCCTATAATAGTTATTTCCTGTTCATTCTATTCTAATTGATATTACATGCGTATTTTTTCTACATCAACGAAAATTACCAACCGTATCATTTATCTTTGTGATATTTTCGGTTCAAATTTGATTGATATTTCTATTCAAATCGTTTCAATGTTGATGTGTTATAAGACTGATGTGTGTATTTGCTTTTCGATTTCAGCACTATGCAAAAAAAGTAAATGATTACGAGAACTGTTTACAAAGAAACAAAACAATCAGCATTTTTGCTAAGTAAAACTCACTTTCTCCGTTATTACTCAATGAAAATACATGAGCATCAACATCGTCGCTTTTTAAACCAATCAACAAGATTGGAAGCGAATATGGTAGAATAAAATTAAGTCACATGTATCCTTTTTTTCTTTCTTTTCAATCTTTTTCTTCAGAATCGATTTTTGCATTTGTTTTACTGAAATAGAAAAGGAATGGGTGCGAACGAAAGTGCTACAGTTAAAGTGAATTTCAATCGATCAAATGCATTCTATTTTGGTGGCGAAAAAATAACAGGAAATATATCATTTCAAAATGTACAAAATAAAGTTACAGTTGAAGAAATTCTTCTCGAATTAATCGGTGAACTCGGCTATACAACACAAGAGACGCGTTGGCGTCGCAATATGAAAGGAGGCTCACATAAAGAACACTATACCGAATATCATCATGAAACGTTTCTAAAAATTCCAGTTTCAGTGGTTCGATCTGCCCACGGAAAGGTAAGAGTCGTTGAGTACCATGATTCATTAACGGAATATTTTATCATTCATGTTATTACTATAGAAGAAGTTGACTCTACGTGCTGGCTCTCATTCGTGGCCGTTCGAACTTTTATTACCTGATTGTTTACCTCCAACATTAGTTCCGTCTTCACCGGAACAAGCCTATGTTAAATACTACGCTCGAATTGTACTCGACAACCCATGGTCTTCACCGGACGCTGCACCAATTTATTCACTTATCATCTTTCCTCGTGTTAATCTGCTTCAAATGAGGGCCACTCAAGAGTTGGTGGAATTTACTAATCATAATCGTAAAAAAGTCGAATTAAAGGGTTGTCTTCTTCGTGGTGGCATCCTCGCTGGTCAATATATCTCGATTCATGTCGATCTTCAAAATCCCAAACAGTGTCAAATTAAACGAATAGAAGCAACATTCATTCAACATCGACAAATCGCTAGTATTCGTGATCAACAAATTATATTTCATAGTAATTTGCCTGGCATAGATAAATTCCAAGAGACAAATTTAAAACAGAACTTTGATTTAGCTGTGCCTCCTGGATATTTAGCGCCAACTTATGTATTCACTGCAACAGATAGTAATGCTTTGTTTAGTATTTTCATTCATTACGAACTGGTATTAGTAGTGAAAACGAATGGAATTTTCACTGACTTTCAAGTGAACATTCCAGTGTTTGTTGGCACAGATTCAGTGCCGGACGAGCAACATCAGCAACAACTTAATGATCAGTTTAAAACGTCTACAAATGGTGGATCTCTTTTCGATATGAATGATTTACCACCAAGTTATGCAATGGCAACTCGAAACGAACTTAAGAAATGTTGAATACGTAAAGCTAACATTCATGTATTTTTTTTAATGAATTTATTTCTTGATCTGACTAAATATGCGAAATCTATCTATCTAAGCCAGTTCTCATACGAAAAAAATTTTATTTTTTTATTTCAGAGGAACGGTGGCAAAGTTTTAGAAAAATCTACTAGTTTTATTTTAGATAATATGCACCGCAGTAATCGAAAAGAACGAATAGATTTGAAACTTCTCCTGTTGCTGGATCTGTCTATTTTTTCTTTTATCAAGCAATCATCTCATTGTGCTATCACGTGTTCTATCTTGTACTGATATTTTGATTCAGATGTCTACGAAAAGTGGCAAAGCTCATGTCGAAAATATGATATAGTTCTAAAAGATGAACTTTTGGAATTTTGTTTTCGTTCCGAAACCGACATTTTTCTCATTAAATGATGGAATATTTTATGTGTGTTATTGATAAAGAGTGACAAGGAAAANATCTCTTTTCGATATGAATGATTTACCACCAAGTTATGCAATGGCAACTCGAAACGAACTTAAGAAATGTTGAATACGTAAAGCTAACATTCATGTATTTTTTTTAATGAATTTATTTCTTGATCTGACTAAATATGCGAAATCTATCTATCTAAGCCAGTTCTCATACGAAAAAAATTTTATTTTTTTATTTCAGAGGAACGGTGGCAAAATTTTAGAAAAATCTACCAGTTTTATTTTAGATAATATGCACTGCAGTAATCGAAAAGAACGAATAGATTTGAAACTTATCCAGTTGCTGGATCTGTCTATTTTTTTTTATCAAGCAATCATCTCATTGTGCTATCACGTGTTCTATCTTGTACCGATATTTTGATTCAGATGTCTACGAAAAGTGACAAAGCTCATGTCGAAAATATGACATAGTTCTAAAAGATGAACTTTTGGAACTTTTTTTTCGTTCCAAAACCGACATTTTTCTCATTAAATGATCGAATATTTTATGCCTGTTACTCAGAAAAACTGACAAGGAAAATTTGAATCCAGTTTTCGAAATTTAGACTCTTTTTCTATAGCACGACATCTTTTTATGAATGCAAATAATCACGATTAACCGATATTTTTTTCGAAGAATCTTCTATTTTGTAAGGAAAACTTTGTTGAAACAAAACTAAATCATGCATACCATTCATTAAATCTTTCAGCCATCATATTGTTCAAGGATGTTTGCAGAAGCAAAACATAATTTTATTTGATGGGATTTGGCCAACGGTTCATCTGATTCTGTTCACATAATTCATGAGATTTCTGCAAAAAAACCTACAAATGTTTTTGAATCGAGTGAAACTTTGAGCGGTTTTACATCATGTTAACCTAAGTTGATGGCTCACATCTGGTTGTAATATGCCATTAATAAATATCGACAGATGGTAGAGAATGCGCAAGTTTTGTGTATAATCAAAAACATTATACCTTTATCGAAAATAATCTCATACCACATTCTTTTCTTATCAGACACATAAAGTATTAACTCTCTTTACATATTATTTACGTTGTAATTGCTGCTTATCTTGGCAAAGTTTCAATTATAACAAAATGCCACATTCTCAGTATCTTGGTCATTTTCTCATTTCATGCATATGACATTGTCATTCTAAGACAGTATGTTTTCTCGAGTCAAATAAATAATGAGAAAATTTGAATTTACAAGAATAAAGACATATAGAACTTTGCAGAGATACAACTACTCTACCTAGTGTACGAGATCCGAGCCGTCAACTTTTTGTTCTGACGAATTACGAATCGAAGAGAGAATAAAAACTCAATGTTTTTTCATATATCATGGTAAAATGTCACTTTTATCATTGAATACAGGTGTTTTTGCTTCTCGAAATGTCTTCTAATACAAACGCTCATAGATTTACACATGGTACATAACTTTATCTATTTGATGTGTATGCTGATTCAACAAGGCACATGTAACAGAATTGATGAGAGTATCATGTAAATCAATATATAGACCCATATTCATTCGTACTGAAACCTACAACATCAAATATATGGAATTGAGATCATGATGACACATTATTGCTGCAAAATTGGATGCGTCTATGTAGAAGCATTCGTGTGAATACTTCAAGTGTGGACGGTCTGTGAAGACTGAAAATGAAAACTAAAGCCTTATCGTTCCATCTACATCCACATTCTCCTAGAACTTTACATCAGACACAAGTAAAGGGTATAAGTGATGTGACAGCAAATCAATAATCCCTCTTTAATTTCAAACGACACAACCATATCGCTGCGAGAAAATTGATGAAGTTCTTTTCTTATCAAGATGCTGTTGAAAAAACCGACAAACAATAAGGCTGGTGATGACTTTGTTGTCGAAGTCAACAATTGTGCGACAAAATATAGGCTTGCAATTTTGATAAATACAGATCTATCCAGTTTTGATTATGTTTTTATAGCACCAAATGTGTAGTAATAGCTTTGAGCAAACCTTGAAAACTAAATGATTCTCTGATGAAATATGCAATTCATGATATTGCAGAAAAAGTAACGCGTATCCAGGTGTTTTTCTTGATCGATCAGTAGTTTTCACTGACTGTCAGTAGATTATATGAAAAGAATCTGAGAAAAAGAATAAATATGCAAATTAATCGTGATACGGGAATGAACAATATCAAAGAAATAACGATGTTGTATAAATTTTTTTTCCGTCAAAAAAAGATTTAACAAAACAGAATTTAACATCAAGTATCTCGAGAAGAATTAAGTTTTGATTGGAGAAATTGCGATTCTATCATCAAATTACAATGTATGGTTCATAATCAATCAAGTTCTTCTGTTTTCAAACCGACAATTCTATCTGCATGATCAAATGGGGCTTACATTTCATGACATGATTCAAAATTTTCCAATACTATACAAGTCTCATTTTCATTCGATGAGTACAGCTACTCAGATTCTAATAATGTTAACAAGACATTCACTTCTGGTAGTCATCGTCGACGAACAGTTTGTTTAGAACATTTTTTAGAAACTTCTTGTCGTTTTCATTGATTCTACTCTTCTTGTAATTACTTCTCTAAATATGTAATAGATGGAATAGAAAAAAAAAGACAGGCGATCATAATCTCGCTACATGAAAATCTCAACACTAGAACTTCCGACTATATAAAATAGTTTTTTTTACAGAGCATACTTCAATTTTTTGAACTACTATAACATGTAAATGATTCATTCGCACAAATAAAAAACAATATCGAAATATGAGAAAGTAATAAGTCCTTAAACATTTTCGGTCTACTATCTTATTCAGCTTTTGTAACAAAACTACAAAAGATGTTTCATTGGCAGTGCTCATGTTTAATAATAGATTTAATGTATGTGGATTATAGTTATGTTATGTCATAAAATCTTGAGTCATTTATTATCATGCATCAGTACAAAAAATGAATAATATAATGAGGCATATTTTTTATCAAGGATAGGGATTAGACAAAATAAAGCTCAATAACTTGATAAATAAAGAAAATCATTGGAATTATTCATTAAAATATTAAATTAATTTTCTTGTTTATTATAGATAATGATTTTGTGATCAAACTGATCATGTTCGTTTGTTTGATATTGGTTCAATTCGTGATACTTTTGATCCACGCCTTGTAAGGTGCTACACGAGTATACACATTGGGTGCATTTGAAGATCCCATTGTGTTGCAGTCTTTCACATAACTGGCTATGCCTGATACCACATATTGTCCATTGTATTGAGCTAGAATGGGTCCACCACTATCGCCTTGACAAGCCGAACTACCATCGATGGAATTGGCGACGCATATTTGTTTCGAACTGTCTACTGATAACCACCAGGAGTCACATTTATCAACAACTTTTGTATTAGCTTGCTTGAGTGTGTCATGAACTGATCCAGCGAACGCTTGAGCACCCCATCCAGCAATAATCACTTGATCGTTTGGTTTCGGTTCGCTACCGGGCAAACATGCCGGTTGAACGTACGTAGTAAATGTGAACGGTGTACTTACACGTAATATGGCAATATCGTTCATATTGGTCATCGTATCGTATTGAGGATGAACATAGATCGCTTGAACAGTACGGAATTGTCGTTTAGTTGTCTCCGTATTAGACGACATATTATGCATGCCCGCAACCAAAGTAATGTCTGATGGATTTCGAGTACCAACACAGTGAGCAGCAGTAATAATGTAATTTGCATTGATCAAAGTACCGCCGCATAAGCCGTAGCATGTGTTGGTACCACATGTTCTCTTTTCTTGATAGAAAATCATCTACATAAAGAAGAAACAAAATTATAGAAAAAGTACAATTATTTTCCAATACTCACCCAGGGCCATGAATTCGGAATAGCATCTGTTCCACCAAAAATACGATTTGATATACTGGACCGTGGTGCAATTTTTTGTTTACCACAACTGGTATTATCCAAAGGCAAAGGAGTTGTTGTTGTTGTTGTTGTTCCAACAAATGAGCCTATTGGACAACAATATCGAACTTGAAAATCGACGCCACCAGGTGCAAACGAATAGAATGAAAGAAGATAGAGTGTGGCGTCCGGTCGCCTCCATTGCCATTGAATTGACCAACCACCCGTCCGATAGTCAATTGATTGAGCTTGAATACCAAGTGGAATTCGACACAATCTTGTTGGATTTTGCGCCAGCATTATACTCATATCTTCGCTATCGCCACTTGTAGTATTCTTCGGTTTGCCCACATTGAACCACATTGTCCAGCCATGGCTGCCCGAGCAGCTTGCTTCAGTGACATCCGATGGATAGAATAGATTCAGGGCTCCTTGGACATTGTATAGTTGTGCACAAAAAATAATGACGATGAGTGATACGAGCATTTTATTCGGCATGATGATGACTTGTCACACTGAAAAACCAAATAGTACTTATATACTGATATATCTTTTATACATAAGAGTGAACGATGAAAAACCCAAATTGATATTGCGTCACAATTAATAGTTATTAGGATCAAATCAAGGTAAAAAACAATATATATGTGTACATTTACTGCATACTTCCTTTTGATTATAATGTGATAACAATGTCACAGTAAAGACATGAAAAACATAATGTCTTACTCACTTTATGTTATCAGATGCTTCAACGAACCGAAACAAATGTGTGTTTATTCATCTAGAACGGTCGATTAATGTTATTTCGTATCTTTATGCAATTTGGAAAAAAAATCAGACTAGGAAGAAGTAAAATGCATTTATCATTTTTTAATGAACTGATGTGTCATGCTATAAATACTCAAGTGCAAAACGAAAGAAAAAATGCAATAAATTAAAAAAGTACCTATGAAGGACATGCAAAGGTGTAATGATTGTTTTGTTGTTGTCATATGTTTCAAAGAATCTTGCATCCGAGAAGTTGAATTATAATATGCAATGTAAGTGTCTTGGATGATTTGATAGGGGTTAAGGCAGCACTTCTGAAGCTGTGAACCTAAATGAAATAGTTAAGTGTCTGATGCGTGGGATACGATAGCATTAACATTGAAATGAGATGAAGATAAGAGTTGCTTACAAGCAATAATCGTGAGATAAATATGATAAAATTGATATTTAGGTAATTTGTAGCAGCTTAATAAATCAGCAGCTGCTAACTGTATCGATTTCACTCAAAAGAAATCCTACAGAAATTCATCCAATTATCAAGACAATGAAATAATAGAGTGTGATCACGAAATTTTTGACGAATTAAAGTCCTGAACTCGATGGCTGATCTCGCGAATGAACAGTGAAGACATTCATTTCGCCCATCCACAACAAGACCTACCAATTCATTCTCATACCAACACTTACACTCACTCACACTATACCCAACTGAAGGTCTTTGTAGCGTCTGAAAAAGATAGCAAGGATGATTTTCTAAACACTTTCCCGTTCAGAAATCGACCATTCTTTTTTCAAGAAACTGTTATTATTCTACATGAATCGGTCCAGTGTCGTGAGGTTATTATGCATATCGTCTTAGTTTTGCATCAAAATGTCATCTTATTTTGAAAAATGGATGATTCCAGGTTAGAAGTTCGTTTTTTGGTAGACTTCTAGCTAGTCATGATCTTACTAGTGCGACTTGGTCCCATGACCAACAATGAAACATATATGATAGCGTAGTCGATGAAAGTTTGAATTCATCGAACAAAAACTCTTTTGCAGTACTCATAAAATACGATATGATTAGTTTTCGGAACCACTATCAGTCTAGTAATCAATTTTGTTCAGTTGCATTTCTGCATCAACCGGAATAAATTTTTTATGCTGTTTTTTTTATATTACAGCATAACGTCGTGTGATGTTGCGTGATGGTGTATGTTGGTCAAAACAATCAAAATAATTATCATAAACATGTAGTTTGATTTGTTTCTATTGAAAAAAAAAAGAATTCATATTTTTTTTGTTTTTATGAAGCTTTTGCTAAAGGAAAAGAGAAGGCGTTATATAAGCCATTTAATAAATTTGATTTATTAGGTGCGAAAATCGCCTCAGTTCAGACGACTAATAATGATATTGGACATATCGGCAGTTAATCACGATTTCGACAGAAAAATCATTGATCAATTACACTTTTTGTCAATGATTTTCGATGTATGAGATAGATCATGATTCTAGGACAATTTCATGACGGCAGAACGGACTGAATGATTAAGTCAAGCATTTTATTTGATATTTTTTTTCATTGCTAGATATTCAAGTGACCGTTCGCAAAAAATGACTTGAAAACGATTTTTAGAAATAGTTAATTTGTTGTATCTTAAGGATTCGTACTAAATATCTATCGGCGAATTCATTTCAGATGATAGAAAACAAAGGAAGAGAAGTCATTGTGTGTTGTACACGCGAATTATCTCATTTTACTGCAAAAGCTTTTGAAAACTGTACAGTATCATATTACATGTCATACTTGCTTTTCAGATCTAAAAAGATAAAGAAAATTAAGTATTTTTTTCATGTCTGTAAATGAATAAAAATCAAAGCATTTTTACAAAAGATGCAACATTCAGTTTGAAGTTTTCAAAGAAGAACTAAAAATACAGTAAGTAGTACTTATATTTTAACTTCTATCTATATTTTCGTTTGGTATATATTTCAACAAGTTTTTCTTAATACAGTATTGAATTAGATAAGCATCGGTTTCGACAAATACCGTGTAATATTCTTTTTTCTTTCTTTAAAATGAATTGGAAAACTTCATGATTATCATTACCATGTGCACGAGATTTGCCACATATCAAATTAGTGATAGCTGTTGGATAATAGAACTATCGAAGAACGTTTCAGTAGATTATAAATTATGAATTGTAAAAATTCTTTCATGAGTCATGATTTTCAATAAAAATCGAGAAGAAATCGATAAAAACCGTCGTTTTGGACAATTTTCAGGCAGTTTTCACCACATGATTGGTGTTCGTATTCAAGAACATCGTGAAAAAAAACCTTATTCATCAATTAACTGTTTTTTTAATAGTATAAACAGAAAACCAGTATATCAAAAATGTTGTTTAAGATAAACGTTAAGATGAAATAAAAATTCAATTATTAGTTTTTATTTAAATACTCGTCCATTTACTAGGTCGTAGTGCAAGAAAAAATTCAACATTGACATGATATAACGTCTGATGGAAATTATTATGTTGGTAATATTAAAGAAAATAACATTTTGGCAGATTTTTATAAATTAGATCATATTGTTATGTATGTGATGGTCAAAACGAAAAAGATAATTGTAAAGCATCGAGTAGAAAAAAAGTGTTCGAAAAATACAAATTATTCAAGCTCAGATTGTTAAAAATAATTAATGAAAAAAAGATTTTCCTAGTGAAGAAAACAGGTCGTTTATTAATTGGTGTGGACGACGAAAAGAAGATCTAATCAGTAACTACATCAGAAAACCATATAATATAATTCTTGTTTTCGACTAAATAGAAGGTGTAATTATATGTTTATAATTAAATTATTACTTCCACATTAGTTAATTATGAAACGATTTGTGAAAAAAAAAACTTTTTCAATTTTTTTTTCAGGTGAACTCATAAAACTAGAAAATATGAAATCTATGTTCAATAAAGGAATGCCTGTTTATTGCAATTGATTACAGACAAAATAGTTTCTTACTTTATTTAATTATGAAAGATTAAAATAAAAATTAAATTAGATCTTGAAAGTATTCTACAATTAGAATTTGCATAACTTAGAGCATGTTTTCTTAGACAATGCTGCACTTGTTTCTGTTGACTGTATTCTTCGACGAATCCATATTATGGTGGCATTATGCATACTAAACAATCAAACACGTAAACTAAGCCAGAGTACTTGATGTAACTATCACAGGCAGTTCGTGCGCATTCACAACTCATCATAGACAAATATAAACAAATTGTAAAACACATGACTTGACTAAGAATTCAATTTTTTTTCTTTGATAAGTCTTTGTTGAAGTTTCTTTCGTTTTCATGTATTTGTAACAATAATAAGTAAAATTTAAAAAATACAAACAAAAAAAGCATGAATTGAAGAAAGAAGAAAAAAAAATCAGGGGAGGAGGTCATTAGGAAGCAAAACTAATCCCTATCAGAGATCTATTTATTTGTGCTCAGTTTGTTATTTTGACTGCCACAGGTTTAAATCCATCAATACTAAGCTCTTTGATGTATTTCAGACTGTACACAAGTTGATTTGGGATGTGAATGTCTATAGGTGGAGGTGGATGTGAGTGCGGGTATTGAGAAGACTCATCTTACATGAACACCCATGCTGTCCAAAGATTGAAAAGAACATTGCATAACTTCTGACAAGTCAACACAAATATATGAGATTTATATTGCCAGCATGTCTATATTTTTCACTTTCTCAAGAATCGCCGTTGATAACGAAAAATATTTACATCAATTTATAATCAGATTTTCATCAATTACAGATCACTCGGTTTGCTTACCAAATAATTTGCCATGCACTTGAGTGGTTTAGTATAGTTAATTACTCTCTGAAGCACTCACACTCGTTTATGAGCAAATAATATGCTTAATTCGAGGTTTGAGTGGAAAATCGTGTACGTATCTGTACTTTGAAAGATACCTTTTCTCTTCTTTTTTCAATATTAGTCTTTCAACGCAATTATATATACATGGATTGATATGTACATTGGTGCTCGCTTACATATTCAAAAACATTCTGAAATATGTACGCTTAAATAATTGAGAAGAAGTCATAGTTAATCGAGGAGCATTTAATGCAAGTTTAGTACGTTTTGTCTAATACTTTTTTCTTCAATCAAACAAAATTGGTACTATCAATTTAATTACAAACATAAAAATTTTGGTCAATTTCTCAAATCAATACAAAATACGTAGTTGTAACATCTGTTGAATCATGAAAGTGTATTTCCTTCTCTTTGTAATGTAAGATAATTTCTTAATCGAGTTAGTGTCATCAAATAGGATTAGTCATTTCTTTTTTTTTTAGAGTCTTGGCAAGTGTCGGTTTGTGTCATAATAGAAATTGTGGACTTTAAACTTCTGTTGTTTTTAATATACTTGTTTTCTTCTATCTTTAGTGTTGGCGGATATTAATGACAGCTTAACAGTAACCTACAGTTCCTGTGATCCATCGGTGAATAATGGTCAATGTTCTACTAACAATCTTTGTCGATGTGC